AAAACTTGTATTGCTTGCTGTTGATGTGTATATATATACTTTTTAAGATGTAATTATATATCTTTATAATACTTACATTGCCTGCAGCTGATGTATATATATAAGATTTTATATTTTAATATATGTTTTTATGTTTATTTTTTACAATAGCAAACAATGTAAATTTAAGATATACATTAGTAAGCATCTTTATGAAACTTACATTGTTTACTATTAACATTTTTTCTTAAATTTACTAATTTTTACTAGAAATACATGTGAAAATTTCATGGTTTTCCTATTTGAATTTTCTGATGAATCTTAATCTTTAAGCTAATAAGCTCATGGCTATTTTTGCAGCAATAAAATATCCATAGAAATTCTCCTATTGCATCGTTGAATCTTTGAATTTCACAACTTTAACAAAATATTGCAATAACAATCATAAATATGAATGCTGGTCGTTATTTTAACAAGTAAGCGGGTACAAATGAAAAGATTCAAACTGTAAACACTTCTATCTTCCCTTGTTTCTTGCTTTCATTTTCTCACTGAAATCAAGTAGCAACTCTGATATATGTCTTCCATCTTTTCATGCAATCAAAACTGAATAGTCCATTATTTATAAGGTATTAGCAGGAGACTTGAAACACTCATTTACTTACTTTCTTTTCTTCTTTCATTTTCTCACTTAAATCAAGTAACATTTCTCATGTCTTTTCTATCTTCAAAATGGAATAGTCTATCATTTATGAGATACTGGCTGGGCATAATGGTGGTGCTAACTAAGGGAGGGACAAGCAGAATTATTTATTATTTTTATGATGTCAATGAACACTCGTTGCAACTTTTTTAATGTCAATGAATACTTGTTATCACTTTTGTAATGCTCATTGTAGTAGAGACTTTGTAATCACAGATATAACTATAGTAACGCCACTGAATAATACTGGTGTTGGACACTTTAGAATAACACTTGCACTAATATTACTCACTCAAAAAGTAACCACCGAATAGTGATCCAGGTAATAGTCCATATAGTGATCACTTAGACGCCACGCTAATTCCCATATATACATTTCCTTTACCATCACGTGATCTACTTATTCAAAATGGGATCACCTGTGTTTGTTCTCTGGTGATTTGTGTTCAAACTCCCGTGTTGGCAGAGATACTTTATTCTTATATAACAATTATATTGTGCATTGGTGGTGTTATTTAGCATAGTCTGTAGTGCTGATTATACAATAAAAAAACAAAATGGCATGAGGAATTGCAGTCAGCATCTTTATCGTCATTTATTTTCAGTGAATGGAAATTTCCAGTTTTTTCTAAGACAGGCCAGCATAGTCAGGCAACAATGCTATAACAATGCAGCAGTGATAGTGTTAAAAAAAAATCTTCAATGTCATAAGGTCAGAGACCGATTATGAAAGTAATCTCCAGAAAAGCAAGAACGTTTTAGTCTGATAGAAGCTTTCTTTCTAATCATGTTGGATTGGAGTCTTTGTATAAAAGATTGAAATTACTCAGACAGAAGAGGGAAGCTTTCAGAGGAATTTTTGTTTGAGAATGTCTTGTAACATTGCTCGTATTTTCAATATTAGATTCTTTAAGGAAAAAAGTATTAATGTTTGATTATGGAATCACTCAAACTGAACGTTAAAGTTCTAAATAATCAGACAGCCATTAAATCGGTGAAGGATTTAGGAAGATATGGGGTAACAATGCTAACATGTATTAATACTGAAATAGAAACACCTAAAGAAATGACCTATGCAACTTTGTCTAGTCTACAGAAATGTTTTTAAAAAAACTCAAGATGGATTTTTCATTCTAAAGCTAGACACGTTTGTTTTCAAACTTTAATTACTGAAGAAAGTAAAATACTGTAATCCTTTGTGTATAGATTGCTAGGGAGTATAAGGTGCAATTAAAAAAGCAGAGAAATTTCTGGGTAAAAAAGCTTATATTCATGTATAAAATGCTTGTGATTTTAGAGTAAAGAAAATGTTCACAAGATTTGTGAAAAAGGAAGAGAAAAAAGAAAAAAAGGGCGACATTTTGTTCACATTTGTGATTCATAAGCATAACAAAAATGTGAAAATGACTCTTGGAATATAAGACCACTAAATCACTGACACACATTGTGGAAATAAATCAAAATAAAATTGAACAAATATTAGCTTGTTTATTTTTTTTTGTTTGAATTATGAAAGATTTATTCCCCTTAGTTGTAATCTGTTATTAGATAGATGTTATCTCTCTAGTAAACAAATGAATACAATTTGACTTGATGTAGTTCATTCTTAGACCTGGAAAAATGGGATTGAGTTCTACACATCTAAACTAAAGTACAAGATGCAGCAAACTTTAGGACACAAATTTTAATGAAAAACACTGTGTCTTATACACTCAGGATTAATATTTTTATTATATACACCCAAGTATAGGGTTGGTGTAGATGGAATAAAAATCCAATAACCAAAAACAGTATTCTTAAAAGAGTGCTCAATACAGAATAGAGCAAGTAGTATTTATTCAAAATTATAACATAAAGATGTTATAACATCACTACAAAAATAGCCATTTTGTTTCAACACTTCTGGTGTTTTGTTAACTGATGGTGTTGATTTAGACACCAATCAACACCATCACTTGACAAGACACCAGAAGTCATGAAACAAAATGGTTATTTTATAGTGTTGTTATAACATCTTTATGTTATAATTTTTGAATAAATACTATATATATATATATATATATATATATATATATATATATATATATATATATATAACAGTATTACTCACTTGAAAAACCTTGGAAGACTCAACTTGTAGACACCTAAGGGCAAATTGGTACCCAAGGAAAAAATTGGAAGTAAAAAATGAAAGAACTAAAACATCAGAACAAGGTGAAAAAAAAATTGTCAAGTGTCTTAAGTCTTTAGTCTAAAGAAAAAAAGACTGGCTACCCTGAAGATCCGTTTCGGTGAAACCAAGGTAGGTTTGCCTGGCTTGTTCTATATATATATATATATATATATATATATATATATATATATATATATATATATACAATAAAATACAGTTTTAAGCTATGCTATATTTATGAGTTAAAAGTGGACATTGAAGTCAGCACCCAGATGATTGCATTTAACATGAAACAGATTGTTGCCTTCGGGTGTTAACATCAATGTCCATTTTTATATATACTAATCAGAGGAATTGTAGTGTAAAATAAAGCAGTCTCCTTCAGTCCCATTCCCACTGCTGTAACGTAGCTTCCCTCTGCATTTAAATACTTTCATTATAATTGTTCTGAAGAACTTTCCTGTATGGTACCCAGACTTTATGAATCTAAGCACAGTACTAGATTGGTGACAAGATGTCATCATTTTACTGTTGAAGTCTCTAGATGTAACTATAAGTTCTATGGTGACAGTTTCCTCTGTCACACTTGTGGAATTCCTTTCTGGCTTTTTGCTTCCATGTCAACTTTGATCTCTAAAAATTTAAATGTCAATTGTTATCAACTGTCTCCTTTGTTCTTGTTCTTTTAATGTTCTTTCTCCTTAATGGTGTTTTATCTTATATTATCTAATACACAATAGCCCCTTGCATCTTATTGGCTTACTGGAGTGTAATGATTTAAAAAAAGATAACTGTAAGAAAATAGCAAAGCTGCATGTTCAAATAGTTGTAAGTCCACTCTCCCAGCAATTGGATTTCTTACTACCTTTTTGTTCAGTGCCTCTGCATATGCATTGAAAAGCAGGAATACTAATCCATAGGCAGCACATCTGGGTTATTCCATCAACCATTTTCTGTTATAAACAATAGAATGAGTCTACCCAGGTTTTTCTTTGAATCATGAAGCCAATATCATCAGTAGACATATACCATCAGCCTTTTTGAACGTAAGTGGATTTCTTCCACACAGGAATCTACATGATTAACATACATTATAGATTTAATCAAATATGTAAGTCCCAAATCTATATTAGTAATTCAACATATATATATATATATATATATATATATATATATATATATATATATATATATGTATAAAGTTTGGTTATTAAATAATAAAATTTGGTTCATAAAAGTTAGATCAGAAGTTATATGCATGAATCAGAGAGTATGTATTGACCAAGGAGAACTCATAAAGTTTCTGTCCACTCATATTTTTCTGAGATGGTCACTTCGATGTGGTATAATGGTTAACAAACTGTATAGTGAATACAATCCTCAATGGGTGCCCCATAGTTTCGGCCTTGTGCCATATCTAAGCTACACTTAGAAAATCACCATATTTTTCTGACATGTGAAAAATGTCAGTTTAAAAATCAATTTGACATTTCTGGTGGAATTAAATAAAATGGCACCTGAGAAAAAAAAAAAACAGGATGAATAATTTGTAAAGAAAGAAAATCTGGAAGAATCTTTGTACCCCTTTATAAAATTTATCTCAGAGGTCCTGCTTGAAAGAAACATAGAAAGATATTCAGGTGGAAGTACAACAATTCAGAATAATAAAAAAGCTGTGAATCATTGAGGAAGGTTACAATACATATGAACAACATTATTGTTTTACCCATAAGTGGGGAAGTGGTTGATGAATGATAAACATGGTAAATATAAAGGGAAAAAATTGTGGAGTTACATTGTAAGAATTTTCTTCTTTTGGCAATAATAATTGTTTAGTGATACATGTCTTACTAATTAACCCATAGCTTGGGGAGAACTATTGGATTCATATCTTTTCCAAGGGTATTTGCGTGTAAAGTGAATATAACAAACCCAATGGGAATTGGAACTCAGAATCCCAATTAACAATTCTGTGCCATTATACATTTGCACATCCAAGCTTACAGAACCTGATATTCCTAAGTGGTCACCCATCTAAGTACTGATCAGGCTTGATGTTACGTAAATTCAGTGATTGTAAGATAAGCAGTGTTTCAACATGATATGTCCGTATATCCCACCACCTGCACATCTGAGTTTACAAAAACTGGTATTTCCAAGCAGTCACCCATCTAAGTACTGACCAAACACAATGTTGCTTAACTTAGGTGATTGTACGGGAACTGGTGTTTCAATGTGATGTGGCCCTAAACCTAGTTGATAGAGAGACAAACTAGAAAGACTATAGGAAGGAAACTACAAAAAACACGTGCAATTTCATACAAGATTGTAGTCAGCTAAATATAACTTTGGTAGTATTGAATTGTGTTTAAGAATTGCTGCTGACAGATTGCTGCTAAGGCAGCTAAACTGGGATGATTGGGAAGGAAAAAGTGGCCACAAGAGGCATCAGTAAAAACAGCTGATATTAAGTGGTTAAATTGGGAAAGAACCCAGAAAGTCGACAAAGAACGATAGAAATTGGACAGTGTGATACAGAGGAAGCGACTCTGTCAAATGATGGCACCTGCAACACAGAAATATGCACATGGATCACCACAGACACAGCAGTGATGGTTAAACTGGAATCCTATCCCCCTATAGTATCCTATAATGTAATATCCTTCTATAATATCCTATGATATAATATCCACTTATAATATGCTATAATGTAATAATAATCATATAATGCCATATCGTCCTATAGTATCCTATAATGTAATAATCTTCCTGTAATATGTAATCATAATAATCCTATAAATTAATATCTTCTTATATTACCTATAATGGAATAATTCTCCTATAATATTCTATAATGTAATAATAATCCTATAATGTAATATCCTCCTATAGTATCCTATAATGTATCAGCCTCCTATAATATCTTATAATGTAATAATAATCCTATAATGTAAGGCCCACCTATAATATTCCATAATGTGTTTATAATCCTATAATGTAATATCCTCCTATAATATCCTATAATGTAATAACATTATATAATGCAATGATAATACTATAATGTAATATCATCCTATAATATCCTATAATGTAATATTTTATAATATCCTATAATTTTATAATCCTCCTATAAAACCCTATAATGTAATAAAAATCTATAATATCCTATAATGTTGCAATACTCTTTAATAACATATAAAGTAATAATCCTCCTATATTATCCTATAATGTAATATCCTATATCCTATAATGTAATAATTCTCCTTTATGAAAGTGAATGATGAACAGTTTCTTCACAGATGAAGAGGAGACTTGAGACAATATCCTATAGAAGCACTTAAAAGATTTTGTTATGTATATTAGCATGGAGTCTTGTGTGAATAGTGCAAAGAAAAGATAGCTGTGTAAGTACATCATGGAAATGAATGTAGAAGGAACTGAAAGCATATATGACCATTGAGAGGTTGATCATAAATTTCAACCCAGATCAACACCAGTGCCCCGTGAAGCTAGCTGGGAAAAAAAAAAAACACAGCTGAGCAGTCAAATAAACCATGAGCAGATTCTAACAGAACAGTGACCAGAAGTGGTTGTGTAATCAACAAACCAACGCATTACAGAAATAACATAAGCATATGGTCAGAATAATGCCAAATGAACATGAGTATTGTCTAGCTCAGTGACTGTTCAAAAAAATGACATCCCATGAAGTTAATTAGTAATACTAACTTATTCAAAAGGGACAGGTGTCATCTTGAGCAATTAGAAAACCTCATTATCATCATCAGCCCTTATTAACCAATCAAAAAAATAATTCACTGCGGGTCAGTTGCCTCTCCATTCGTAATGGCACCTGGCAGATATAAATGTTTACTTTATTTCTTTAGATGTGTACAACAACATCATATCATAACAATTTCTGTGGTGACCATTTCCTTTGATGCCCTAAGCATATGTTTATTTTGCTTAATGGTTAATTCAGCCATGTGTAGAAGGATGCTGAGAAGACCATGTGAGGAAGTTTTCAAGAAAATAGGAACTAAAAGCACAATTATACTTGTACTTCAAGAAAAAACAGCAATTCACAGATAATGAAGAAAAGGATTTTTTTTAATCATTTCATCCCAAGCAAAGTAATAAAGCCACTAAGATGCAAGGGGTTACTGAGAATGAAGAAAACCTTATTGAGGAGAAAGGATAATAAAAAGAGCAGGATTCAATAATAGAGATGTTGATTGACATTGGATTTAAATTTTTGAAGCTTATAATTGACAGGAAAGCAAGAAGATAGAAGAGCATCCCACAGGTTAGAAGTGCAAGATAAGAAACTCTCTTTTGAGAGTCATGATGCCCTGTTGAGTGCCATGATGCTGTGTTGAGATCCATGATGCCCTGTTGAGAGCTATAATGCCCTGTTGAGTGTCATTGTACTTTGTTGAGATCCATGAAGACATGTTGAGAGCCATGAAGACATGTTGACAGCCATTATGTCTTTTTGGGAGCCATGATGTTTCATTGAGAGCCATGATGCCCTGTTGAGAGCTGTGATGTCCTGTTGAGTGCCATGATCACCTTGCTGAGAGCCATGATTCTTTGTTCAGAATCATGATGCCCTAATGAGAGCTATGATGCCCATCTGATAGCCATGATTGCTTGTTGAGAGCCATAATGATCTATTGAGAGCCACGATACTCTTTGGCATTTACAAAAAATGCAACATTGAATGGATTAACATTTTCATAATGCTTTCTTTTTACTTAATTGTTTATCATCTATGACAGCAAATATAATATTAAGACAGAAAAAAACATCTTTGCTCTCATACATTTTACAGATGGTATGTAACACAATTCCATTCATAAAACAAAGAAAATTATTTGAAACACATTTTCACTCTGTGAAATATAGAAATATATTTATTATGATTTGCTGAAAGGTTTCTTTGATGCAAAAAAATCACTGAGGAGATTTCAAAATATATTTAATGATTAATTGTTTCATAAAAGTTTACAGGCATAATATGTGAACCACCCATATGTTATCAATTAAGAATTTTTATTCAGATAAAGAAAACATTGGTGAACAAACAAATTGAGACTTCTCCTTCATGTCCCCTCAGGATGTAGGCGATCATGGCTCTCCACAATTTCTTGTCTTTTGTAGTTCTTAATAAATATTGTCTATGTGTTATTTCTCCCAAACCCTGTTCATCCATTCATTTAATAAGTATGTTATGTGTTGTCTTCTGTCCCTCTTACCTTCTGTCCTGTGAGCATTGCGTTTTCCAAGTCCTCTTTCCTCATGATGCATGATAGAAATTTCAACTGTCTCTTCCTGATGCTAAGTATAAGTTTCCTTTTGCTTCCATTTTTGCCAAAACTTTGTTACTCACATGCTCGGTCAACAGTATCCTATGTAGAATGTTTCTGTTGCTTTATGTCTTCTTTTCATCTTTGAGGTGATTGTCCAGAATCTTCTGCCATACCAGTGGACAGATATCACATAGCAGTTTAGTATTCTTTTCCTTCTTTCTGAAGATTTTATTCTATTTTGGAATGCATCCTTGGCTATCTGAATCCACCTTAGGATCTCAGTGTCGCTCTTTTTTTTTTTGTAATGTCAATTGTTATCGTCTTTTTTCTGAATTCTTGTTATTTTATTCTCTATCCTTAATAGTATTTTTTTCTTTTTCCGCATAATCTCTCAGTGTTGCTCTTTCTGTCCTCTGTTAAAAAACACTTCCCAGATATTTAAATTTCCACAATTGTTTGATTTTGGTATCTTTGATTTGCAATTCACATTTAGGGTCCATCCTTTTGCAAACAACCAGGCATTCTGTCTTCTTGTATTTGATATTTAATCCTTTCTTTTCGTTTTCCTTCCCTAACTTCTATAGGTGTTGTTGTAGTTTTCTTTCTGTTTCTGCTATCAACACTGTGTCATCTACATATCTTATGTTGTTAAGATTGCGGCCTCCAATAATGAATCATGGTAGGACTTCTAGTTCTCTAAAAATCACCTTGTTTATTAGGCAGGCTATGCATTGTTTTTCTCTATCCCTCTTGCTTTCAATATGTCTGCCATTGTCAAATTTTCCAAGCTCATTATGCACCCTAGAAATTTCAACTATCTCTGATGTTAAATATAAGTATCCTTTTTGTTTGCATTTTATTTAAAATTTGTCAGTGCTCACATGTTCAATCCATGGTATTCTCAGTATCCTTCTGTAGAACACATTTCTGTTGCTTCAAGTTTTTTTTCACCTAAGAAGAGATTGTCCAGCATTCACTGCCTTATAGATGAACTGTCCAGCATTCACCACCTTATAGATTAACTAATGAGGAGGCATGGTGGAGTAATGGATAGCAGCTTAGATTGAGGAATCAGAGAGCCAAGTTCAAATTCCATTGGAAACCATTACATTCACTTACGTGCTAATACCCTTGGGAAAGTTGTGAATCCTCATCTTCTCCTTCCAGCTATGGGTAAATAGCAGGACAGATTGTGTTCTATAGCCTTGGATGGCAACTGGTCTAGGAGAAGGATAACTCTGAATTCAAATCTGGAGTGGAGCCCCTAGGACAGATGGACGGCACTTTGTGCTTACCTTCTGGTAACTCTTGCAGCCGCTCTGTTACCAAACTGTATTGGGTTATCCTCTCCTTAGGACTCTGCTGGCAAGGCCAAGAGGAGGAACTAGACATCTGGGCAGCCTTAGATCTCTATATATCCTGCCCAGGCTCATAGCGCACTGTGCTACTCCATCGTCTCTCGAGACGGACGGATGCTGACGATGACAAAGATAGATGAACTGATATTATGTTACAGTTCAGTAACCTATTCTACATCTATAACAAAATTTTCCTGTTTCTTTGCTTAACTTTTGGAAGGCATCTTTCACTATCTCAATACACCTTTGCATTTTGGTGTTTCACTTTCAGTCTTCTGTTAAAACACTTGTAAAATTGTTGTAATTTTGATATCTCCAATTTGTAATTTGAAAGATGGGTTCTTTCTTTTGCTGATAGTCATCCATTCTATGTTCTTGCACTTGATGTTTAGTCCTTTCTTCTGTAGGAGTTCTTGCAGTTTCCTTTCTGTGTCTGCTATCGACACTGTCGTCAGCATACATGATATTGTTAAATAATGAATCATGGTAGGACTTCTAGTTCTCACAGAATCACCTTGATATATAGATTGAATAAGTCTGGTGAGAAGACACATCCTTGTCTTACGCCCCTGTCTCATTTACTATCCATATGCAGGTAGTTTGCTGCCAGTATAGGTTCTTGATCTTTCCCAAATATGTCAAGGTTGCTGAACAGTTCCAACAAACTACCAAAAAAAAAAAAAATCATTTTGATTAACTTCGGTTAATGCCTGAGATGTCACAGAATGAAAATTACCAAGGGAACTGGATAGTTTCTTGAACTATCTGCATGTGCAAAGCTCCACATTAATTGTCACCTTGTGTCAAAACTACCATCATAGGTAGAATGTGTAAAAAGTTTCACACCATATTGCATCATGGTCATGAATTGTGTTTCACAATATACTTTCAGGAGGTGTATTTACCCTAGAGGTCAAAGTACTTCAAATCTAATGATAGTTTTCCCTATAGGGAACATAAGTTCTAATCCTGCCAAAGATCACATATTTTTCGCTAATAAGATTTCTCAAATATTTAGGCCAGTAGACAAAAATAAATATACTGTTTAGTAAATAAACAGAGCATCTACTCAAATATGAAACATTATATATATATATATATATATATATATATATATATATATAAAGTGAACAGAAGTCAACATATAGAGGCGACAGTCTGTTTCATGCTATATGCAACAGTCTGTTTCATGCTATATGCAATCGTTTGTTTCATGTTATATGCAATCGTCAGGCCTGACGATTGCATATAGCATGAAACAGACTGTCGCCCTAAGTGTTGACTTTATGTTCACTTTTATATATTTTATTTATATATATATATATATATATATATATATATATATATATAATGTTGTGAAAAATGTGTATATATGCAATACTTATACAAATATATGATTTTCACTTTACACACATAGTCCTGGGTATGATGATAAACTACATCCAGTAGTAAGTTCTCTGATTGGGGGATTGGAGCCTGGAACCAACTCTTAATTGACGCTGTTCCCAGGTGCACCTTTACCCGGGGTAGAAACACTCATTAGGGTCCCAGCTATGGGCAAATAGTGAATCCCTCAAACAAAAACACTATGAAAGTATAAAAATTCATTTTAATAATAAATATACCAGAAATATATTTTTATATAAAAAGAAAACCAACACTATAAGACCATCAATAAAATTTATCTGTAGTTTAATGCATACAATTGCGTTCAAAATATATTTAGTAGAAGCAATAAAATTGTATTCAAATTATTTATATTTCAGCATTAAATAACCCATAGAGGTGTTGATATGTCACTAAACAAAAGTCAAACAACTAAACAACCAACATGAACTCTTTCATGACATTAATCCACCTCTTAATTGCTGTTTTACTCAGGTTTGACCTGAGGTGTAGCACCTGTTAGGGTCCCAGGTATGGACACATAGTGCCCCCTCCAACAAAAACAAAACACTATGAAAGTGTAAAATACATTTTTATAGTAAAAATACCTGCAATACCTTTTTATATGTATAAAAAAATGACCACCAATAGATTTTATCTGTAGTTGAAGGCAAACAATTCCATTCAAAATATTTAGATTTTGGAATTAAATAATCCTTAGAATGCCAGTAAACAAAATCAACCAAACTCTTTCATGATATTAATTCATATAATATCCTATAATTTTAAAAAGAAATCATATTGTATTCCAAAATATTAAAAAGCTACAATATAAAATGCCTCTAGTAATTATGTCCAAACAAGCTTGTATATGCACAAAAGCTGAGTATCATCTACCATGTATTCAACTGTGAAAGCAGAATAACATATATCATATATTTATTACTTCAAAGCTCACAAGAAAATTAATTTTGGTATTAAATGACCCTTAAGTCGTTTATATGTCATTAAAATAATCAGCTAACACATAAACCTGTGATATATATATATATATATATATATATATATATAATTATTTTTTATAAAAAATTATAACATAAGTATGTTATAAAATCACTACAAAAATAGCCATTTTGTTTCAACACACTCATATATATATATATATATATATATATATATATATATATATATATATGTGTGATACATAAAATACTTCTTGAAAATACAGACCTAATGCACACCTCTAAAGTTTACATGTGACACATTTCATCCTTCAGTACTTCATCAGACTAAATTTGTTATGCTGGTAGGACTACATATGAGCTGTGTGGGAAAGAAAAAGAAAAATACTCTAATTGAAATTGGCTAGATAAAAAAAAACAAAAAAAAAAGATCTAAAATTCTCAGCACCCCTCTGTCGTTCACTTGTGTTGTTCTACCAATATAACAAATTTAGTCCAATAAAGTCTTGAAGGATGAAACGTAATGCATATAAACTTTATCATCATTGTCATACAATTTCCCCAATACAGTTCTTGATATATAAAACATACATATCATTATCTCATACCTCTAATTATAGAAAACATCTATAAATATATAAATCTTAATCATAAAGAGTAAACAACACTTAACAACATCAGCTATTACACAACAGTAATTTAGTAGGTGCATACAGGAATTAAAAACATGTGTACATACCAGCCATGTGTACATCACTTAAAATATCACAACCAAATTCCTTGAAAAACAGATTTGCCAAATGTGCTTAGAATGAACATTTGGACAATTTCTTCATACACTATATTCAAAAAAGAAATCTTTTATTCATGCACAAAGCAAACACAATAATATTTCATGACTGAAATGATTTATGTATATATGAGAATTGAATCAGCAATCAGTTATTAACTAAATTTGTAGTTGAAATTTTTACTTTTTAATGTTTGGTCTGTGTAATTAATAAATGTTGATGATGAATATTATAACTGAAGAAGAATATTTGAATGTATAGATTGTGGAATGTAATCAAAAGAAAACTTAACAGTAGTTCCATATCTGTCAATTTCAATGTAACATGTATTATAGAGAGATTACCAAAATACACTATCTATCTATCTATCTATCTATCTATCTATCTATCTATCTATCTATGATAGTTCATCATCTATCATAGGTTGTTCATATTTATCTATGTATCATAGGATATTTCTATCTATCTATCTATCTATCTATCTATCTATCTATCTATCTATCTATGCTAGTTCATTATCTATCTATCATAGGATATTAATATCTATCTATCTATCTATCTATCTATCTATCTATCTATCTATCTCTGTCTTTCTTTATCTATTTATGCTAGTTCATTATCCATCTATCATAGAATATTTATGTCTATCTCTCTCTGTCTTTCTCTCTCTCTCTCTCTATCTATCTATCTGTCATAGACTGTTTATCTATCTATTATAGACTGTTCATATCTATCTATCTATCTATCTATCAATCTATCTATCACAGGATATTTATATCTATCTATCTATCTATCTATCTATCTATTTATCTATCTATCTATCTATCTATGCTAGTTCATTATCTATCTATCATGGGATATTTATATATATTTCTCTGTCTTTTTTATCTATCTATCTATCTATCTATTTATGCTAGTTCATTATCTATCTATCATAGGATATTTATATCTATCTATCTGTCTTTCTTTATCTATTTATGCTAGTTCATTATCCATCTATCATAGGATATTTATGTCTATCTCTCTCTGTCTTTCTCTATCTATCTATCTATCTATCTATCTATCTATCTATCTATCTATCTGTCATAGACTGTTCATCTATCTATTATAGACTGTTCATATCTATCTATCTATCTATCTATCTATCTATCTATCTATGCTAGTTCATTATCTATCTATCATGGGATATTTATATATATATCTCTGTCTTTCTTTATCTATCTATCTATCTATCTATCTATTTATGCTAGTTCAATACATTCTCTCTCTGTCTTTCTTTATCTATCTCTCTATCATAGGATATTTATGTCTATCTCTCTCTGTCTTTATCTTTCATTATCTATCTATCTATCTATCTATCTATCTATCTATCTATCTATCTATCATAGACTGTTCATCTATCTATCTATTATAGACTGTTCATGTCTATCTATCTATCACAGGATATTTACATCTATCTATCTATCTATCTATCTATGCTAGTTCATTATCTATCTATCATGGGATATTTATATATATCTCTCTCTCTGTCTTTCTTTATTTATCTATCTATCTATCTATCTATCTATCTATCTATCTATCTATTTATGCTAGTTCAATACATCTCTCTCTCTGTCTTTCTTTATCTCTCTATCACAGGATATTTATGTCTATCTCTCTCTGTCTTTCTCTATCTATCTATCTATCTATCTATCTATCTATCATAGATTGTTCATCTATCTATCTATTATAGACTGTTCATGTCTATCTATCTATCTATCTATCTATCTATCTATCTATCTATCTATCTATCTATCACAGGATATTTATATTTATCTATCTATCTATCTATCTATCTATCTATCTATCTATGCTAGTTCATTATCTATCTATCATGGGATATTTATATATATATATATATATATCTGTCTTTCTTTTTCTATCTATCTATCCATCTATCTATCTATCTATCTATTTATGCTAGTTCAATACATCTCTCTCTCTGTCTTTCTTTATCTATCTCTCTATCATAGGATATTTATACCTATATATCTCACTATCTGGTGTGTTTAAAATTATTGGCCCAACCCAAGTTCAAAAAGCTGTCTAAATGACCAGACATCAGAATTTTAGAGGGGAATCCCTCCTTGGCCATACTAAAATCTTTTCAGCAGCCCCTCATATACTTACTTGTGTGTATATTTATTCATTCACATCCACACAGATGCAATCACATCAGGAGACACATTAATTTAAAAGTCTAAAGATGGCCGCTTCATTTAGTTCTTCCTCTTTATCCTCCATTTTCTTCCATTACCAAGCCTCACATTAGCTTCAGTGTTTGATCAGATTACATTCATGACTCTAAGAGGGATTATTATTTTGATGAGGAAAACCTTCATGCTGATGCCATTTAGAAAGAATTTTAATTTATTTCTGCAATTTATTCCCAGCCTTGCACATTGAAATCCATTTTGCACTTGATCAGATTCTAATATTCTATTCATTGTTTCATATTTAAAATATAAAGCAATATTTCTTGTTATGTAAAAAACAGTGAACATCAAGTTGTTTATTTTGAAACATTATATATTATTTAATCATTATTTTTTAAAATAAGAAAAGGAAAATTTTAAACAGGCCTTTTCCCAACTGGGTATTTATGCCAATGACACAATTATTTACCCCTGTCTTAATAATAAGTCTGATGGGTGTGACAAGATAAAACTGGCAGCTGATCGAAAAATGACCTCCAATGAATTGTTAACAGGGGCAAGAAATGGCTTGTAAATTGTAATTCTTCCAAAAATGAAACTACTATCTTTTAATCATCATAATGAACCATTTTCATCTTCCATCAGCATGGCTGATGGAAGATGAAAATGACCAGGACAGAATTTCATTACTCCTTCCTGGTGTCACATTTCCCACTGACATGTTGGGGAAATATTATATTGAATCACTTGCTAGACCTACTGCTAGGAAATTTGGTTCATTTTGTTGTGCAAGACAATTTTTTCTTGACAAAATCCATCTTGATATTTATAAATCTACTATTCATCTGTGCATTGAATATTGCTGCCATATCTGGTCTGGTGCTTCTGCTATGTATTTAGTGATAAAATGCAAAGAATTCCCAATGTTATTGGTCCTGACCTGGCATCTCAGCTTCAATCACTTTCCCACAATCATAATGTAGCTTCCCTCTACCTTTTCTAGAAAAATCTCCATGGTAATATTAAAGGATTTTTTTAGTTTAGCCTTTCATAGAGATCACCATAACCGTTTCAATCATGGGAGCTTTAATGACGAAGCAAAATATAGTCTGTAGTTATTCTGCTTCTCTGCACTCAATATTCTTATATAATATGAGTGAAGTGAAAATACCATGGAATGAACATGTGAGCAATTCGGAAGTTTTAAAAAATTGGGAAATGGAAGGATACTTCAAATCAGAAAGGGACAGCTGAAATTACTGGAACACTTAATGAGAAAGGAAAGCTTGGTAAATTTAACACTCACAGGACATATTGAAGGAAAGAGTTGGAAAAGAGGCCAATATTACCATTACTGTATATTGAATTATGTGAACATTCTTTTTTTTTTCTACTTTTACCTTTATTTCTTTTTTCTTTCCTTTTTCCTTTATTCTTTTCCTTTTTCCTTTATTTCTTTCCTTTTTCTTTTATTTCTTTTTTCTTTGCTTTTTCCTTTATTTCTTCCCTTTCCATTTATTTCTTCCCTTCACCCTTTATTTCTTTTTTCCTTTTATTCCTTTTTCTTTCTTTTTCCCTTTTTCTTTCCTTCCCCCTTTATTTCTTTCCTTTTTCCTTTATTTTATTCATTTTTTCTATTTTCTTTCCTTTTTTCTTTATTTCTTTTTCCTTTATTGCTTTCCTTTTCTTTTGATTTCTTTTCCTTTCCTTTTCCTTTATTTCTTTCCTTTTTCTTTTATTTCTTTCATTTTTCTTTTTCCTTTATTTCTTTTCCTTTCCTTTTCCTTTATTTCTTTCCTTTTTTTTATTTCTTTCATTTTCCTTTTCTTTTGATTTCTTTTCCTTTCCTTTTCCTTTATTTCTTATCTTTTTCTTTCATTTTCCTTTTTCCTTTATTTCTTTTCCTTTCCTTTTCCTTTATTTCTTTTCTTTTTCTTTTCTTTTTTTCATTTTCCTTTTTCCTTTATTTCTTTTCCTTTCCTTTTCCTTTATTTCTTTTCTTTTTCTTTTATTTCTTTCATTTTCCTTTTTCCTTTATTTCTTTTGTCTTTCATTTTCCTTTTTTTCTTTCCTTTTACTTTTGTTTTTTTAATTTTTAGGAAATCATGTTTCACTTGCTTTTGCTATTTTTCCTTCTTGGAGTAAACAAGCCATGATCCTTGTGGCCTTGTACCAAACAAGGAGAATGAATTAGTAAATTGAAAATAGTAAAAAAAGGACATGTCCTTTTTTCATTATTTTCAATTTACTAATTCATTCTCCTTGTTTGGTACAAGGCTACAAGTATAGGGCCCTGAGTGAGGATTGAACCAGTAATATTAAGACAGCTTAGCTTATTATGGTTTGTTTTGTTTTATGGCACATCAACCTCAATGGGTCATTTAATTCAGACAACATTTTTTTTTCCTGGTAATACTTTTGTTTTGTCAAAAATCTATTTCTGTTAATATTTTTTTCCTCAATATGCTGGTAATATTATTTTTTCAGAAACATATAGCTGGTAATTTTTTCAAAAACATATAGCCGGTAATATTATTTTTTCAGAAACATATAGCTGGTAATATTATTTTTTCAGAAACATATAGCTGGTAATATTTTTTTCAAAAACATATAGCCGGTAATATTATTTTTTCAGAAACATATAGCTGGTAATATTATTTTTTCAGAAACATATAGCTGGTAATATTATTTTTTCAGAAACATATAGCTGGTAATATTTTTTTCAAAAACATATAGCCGGTAATATTATTTTTTCAGAAACATATAGCTGGTAATATTATTTTTTCAAAAACATATAGCTGGTAATTTTTTCAAAAACATATAGCCGGTAATATTATTTTTTCAGAAACATATAGCTGGTAATATTATTTTTTCAGAAACATATAGCTGGTAATTTTTTCAAAAACATATAGCCAGTAATATTATTTTTTCAGAAACATATAGCTGGTAATATTATTTTTTCAGAAACATATAGCTGGTAATATTTTTTTCAAAAACGTACAACTGGCAACATTATTTTTTCAAAAACATATTATTAGAGGCCTTTGCTGTTGGATGTAGTTTATCGTCATACCAAGGATGCGGATGTAGTTTATCATCATGCCCAGGATGAGATCTGGGTTTGGGGGTGCTGTTGGACATAGTTTATCATCTTACCCAGTATGCAGATGTAGTTTATCGTCATACCCAAGACGCGGATGGAGTTTAATGTGATACACAGGATGCGGATGTAGTTTATCGTCATACCCAGGACACGGATATAGTCTGGGTGTTAACTATTTGCCCATAGCTGGGACCCTAAGTGGTGCTACCACCCCAGGTCAGAGTGGACCTGGGAACACCGGCAATTAAGAGGTGGTTCCACGCACCTCAAAACCTCCTGAGCCTTGCTCAGAGGCCTTGCTGGTGGATGTAGTTTATTGTCTTACCCAGGACGCGGATGCAGTTTATCGTCATACCCAGGACGGTAGCTGATTATGTAAACATTGTTCAAAAATAATTGTTCAAAAACAATTATTCAAAAAACATTTATTGGAATTGTAAATTGTTTGAATGAAAATTAATTGAGAGGGCGATTATATTAAATGATAATTATTCGAAAATGGAAAATTCTTCAATCCAATAAAAATGTAAAAATTAAAAGAGTAAATACACAAATTAAAATTATTTGAAATACAAATATTGTTAATAAAACAATTTAGTAAGAAAAAATTCTTATAACCTTAAGTTATATGATACTTCATGCAAATATTCAACTACTGAAGAGTACTCGTTAAAGGATGTCACTAATTTTTTAAGGTTTCCGTTTATGTCACTGTATTTCTTGGCACTCTTTATATCTTGGCATTCTGCTATTACTTTTGCAATATGAATTTCTACCAAGTCCTGTTCTCTTTTAAGAGTATTGAATAATTGTTTTTGAATAATTGTTTTCAAACAATTTTTCGTACAATTTCCTTGATACAGTATATTGGGTATATACATAAAAGTAATTCCTTCCAAAATTGCAGTATATTAATATAATAAATGGAAAATATTGGGTTGGTCAAATGTTTATTCAGTTTATTATGTAAATTTTCTACTTAATAATTGAACAAACCTTTTGACCAATCCAATATAAATTTTAGATTTTAGATGTTTTTTTCTCTCTGGAGTCTATCTTATATATCTATATGTCTACTATTTGTCCATTCTAAGAATATTGCTGCCACATATAGTCTGGTGCTTCTACTATCTATCTAGAGTTCCTTGACAAAATACAAAGAAGAGAATCAGCAATATTATTGGCTCTGATCTGGTGTCTCGGTTTCAGTCACTTTCCCACCACTGTAAGTCTGCCTCCCTTTGCCATTTCTATAAATACACTCATGGTAATTGTTCTGATCAGTTCTTTGCTATGGTAACTAGACATTTTGAATTTAAGTACAGTACTAGACTGGCAATATGATCTCATCAATTTACAGTTGAGTTGGCTAGAAGTAACTATAAATTCTATGCTGACAGTTTCTTTTCTTGCACTTCTTGCCTGTGGAACTCTCTTTCAGCTCTATGTTTTCCAGCTAATTTTAATCTGCAAAAATTTAAATGGAATATCAGTCACTATCTATTGTCCTCCTGATTACACTTCCTCTGTTCTTGCTCCTTAAAATATTTCTGTTTCTAACTCTTCCACACACGCACTAACACTGTGCATCTGTGGCTTTATTGCCTTGCTTGGGGTGATTCCAATTAAAAATTTAAAGAAATATGTGCAAACCAAATATGTTTAAAGATTGTCAAAATATCCAATCATTTTTTACAGTATAGTTTAACTTGTAATTAAAATTCAACTTTTGAATATTTATTGTTGTTAAATTT